TCGTATATATATATATATATATATATATATATATATATATATATATATACAAATGAACCGTTTTTTTCCTCTCTGTGTTACAAAAAAGTCATTTGTTAATGAATAGCAGTAAAAGTTATCTACTACATTCTAAAAAACAGTGTTAGAGGTGATGACATAGATGCCCACAATAATGTATAGCTATCATTATATTAAATCAAATTATATTTCGTAGTTTTAAATCCTCTTCAAGACAAAGTTCAAGGAGTACAATGTTGATCTCATCATCGTGTTTCATCTTTTCATAGTTTTCGTATCTGCAACGCAGTGAATTAAAGAGTTCGGGATCTTTTCTGGGATGTCGCTCACCAACTCTTGACTGATGTCGACGTGTCTTTACCACAATTTAGCTAATTATTAATTCGAACTGAGAGACATCCATCCTCAATGCTTAATGTGTTCATGTTCATAATGTTCAGTGATCCGGCGATAGAACAGAAGTTATGGTCTTGTCTAAGGTGCGTATTTGCTTGATTTTGAAGCACTTTAACATTTTAGCCTTATGCTCATTAGCAATTCATCAAGAGAAGCATAAAGGGAGGTGCAAGTTAAGTACATCCATCCCACTCAAATGATATCATTTTAATACGAAATGATGGAAACAGAAGAAAGAATATTTCAGCTTAGTCTTTCTAAATAATGCAGCACATATAATTCAGCAGACCATGACACTGCCAGCAGATGCAGTTTACATTGCGAGTATTGTTCTCGTAACTGCACATGATTTCTCTTTATTATTGATTCTTATTGATTGTTGTGAGGTAATATTCGGTTAAACAAAATATGTCATACTTGGCCGGTTATCCCATGTTTATGTTCACATACGTTTACCACCTAAGTTATATTTCCAGGAAAGTGATATTAGTCCAGAGCAGTTTCAACAGTAATTGGCAATAAAGAATTATAGAACCTGGTTTAAGAAATTTACCTGGACAGAAGAGAAGGGACCCCTATTATATTTTGAAAATCGAGGGGTCCTCAAGGGAACTGTTCGGGATTGATGGGTGGACATCGACGCGACCAAAGTGATTCTCATGTACCTCTTAGACAGTGTATCGAGTTTCAACAATGTATTTCAAATAATAGTCAAGATCAGATTCGGCTGCCCACAGAAATATCGTTGAACATCGTCGAGCCGCTGCCTAATGGAACTGTTAGTTCTATATCCTCAAACGATTTACCAGTTCATCGCAATGACTGCATTTTTCATCGACAACGAAGAGTTAGTGATTTTTTGAATTGGTATTCATTTATTCATTTAAATGAAACCTAGAGAATTTTGTTTTGAAGCGGTCGTAACCATAAACCGTGTTGGTTAACCATGTTAACAAAACCAAATAAAAAGTAAATGAT